AATTAATCCAAAAATCTATATTGATTTAAAGAAGAAAAAAATAGTTAATTTTCTGATAGGTGTAGCAATATTCGTAAAAAAAAACCTTTATATATCATTGGGCTTTAAAAAATATGATAATTAACCTTATCTCAATTCTAGAGTAAATATTTGGCATAATGGTGTCATCATCTAATAGTATAACTATAGGTGGACAAGTTGAACTCCACTTTTTTTTCTTTTTTTTTTTATATATATATAAAAAGTGATTATTTGCTTACATATATAGGATAGTTACTAAATTAAGTGAAATCCATTTAATTATATGTAAGTTAAATATTGGTTAGTGACACCACGTGACAATAATAACGTGACGTCATCGGTAAATTGAATATGTTCTCGGAGAGAGATTTCGATCTTCTTCAATACATTTTATGTTCAATTCTCTTCTTGGTAAATCATCTACTATTAATGAATGAAAAATTCATTTGTATATAATATGTCCTATTTGAATGCATTATAAATGATCTATCAAAAGAAATTGAAGAGAAAGTGAATTGAAAAATGAGATTATTATTTATTAGACTAAAAAATAACCCTTATCATCACGTCAACTATGTTACGTTTCTAAAATGCTAATCTAGAGAGAGAGAGAGAGAGAGAGAGTGAGTTGACCAAAACCATCCCCATCACTAAGAACTGTATAGGAATTGACCTACACCAAAACCTTCCCCACTAATAAGAACTATATAAGAATTGACCTAGATGTGACGGGGGTGGAGGCTCATCTTGAAGACTTCAAGAAGTCTACCTTTTTTTTCTGCTGTGAAAAGTCTTCTTTCAATATCAGAACAATGTGTCAACCATGTGCTCTAGAATCATAACAAAAGGAAAGAATTCCATATGAATAAGGCATATAGCCTAGCTGATCACACCAAAGGAAGTTTCATGGCTGTTAAGAGATAGAGACATTATTCATGGCCGCACATAGATTCCATTGCTTTTCTATGGGAAGTTTTAAAGCATTTTCTATTTCTCTTTTTTCTTATGGTTCATCAATTGTTGACGTGTAGAAAGGATTTTGCCAAACACGACTTCTCTTCGAGAGAAAATAAAACAAAAAAACAAAAAATTTAACAGAGAAATAATGTTTAATAAACATGTAAATTTTCATATTTAAGTTTAAAAATGACTCACTATTTATCCAATACTTTTGCATGTATCATGTGTCGAGTCAATAACTTAGAGAATAGGGTGTATGACATAGTAATCTTGAAACATTTTCTGTATTACTAGCGAATGCAACTCTCCTCTGCTGCTTTTAGAAAAAAAAACAGCACAATTTAAGACAAAACGACAATTTTTTTTTTTTGAGTTGAACACATTTACAATATTTCTCCCAAAGTCAAATCATTTCTCTTCCCTTGTTACAGTCTCTCCCACCACACTCTCTTGCTCTACATGTACCCATCACCATAACTCTCTCTCTCTCTCTCTCTCTCATTATTTTAATATTAATATCTCTCAAAAAAATCTACTTCTACAAAATCAAATCAGTGTTATCGACCACTAAAACCTTATCAAGGTCCACTATCTCTATCTATTGCACAAATCCAAGTGGTCTGCCTCCAATCAAATCCTTAATCAATAGAAGCCTATTTGGTATTAAAACTCATCCTTAAATTCAAAACAATTACACAGACACAACAAAAATAAATCTATTTAGTCAGTATTATCACCCACTAAAACCTTATCAAGATCCACTATCTCTATCTATTGAACAAATCCAAGTGGTCTGCCTCCAATAAAATCCCTAATCAATAGAAGCCTATTTGGTATTAAAACTCATCCTTAAATTCAAATCAACTACACAGAAACAACAAAAATAAATCTATTTAGTATTGCAGTTAGAAAATTAAATTCTCAACTTATAAAAACGCAACGGTTAAAATTGATTCAATTTTTATCTACTTTAATTCAATAGTACAAAATTCATTCTAAAATTTTTTTCCCTGCAAAAAATACTTCATTGTCATTGCACGACCTCCAATACTAGACAATCCCACCAATTCACACCTATATTTCTCTTATCTCTCCCCTAGCTCTTTCTTATTTTATTTTTATTCATTTAATTTTAAATTGTGTGATTAAAAAAAGGGAAAAGAAATTTTAAATATTATACAATCAATATTCAATTTTTGGTATTGTAAAGTGTCTTCAAGCACAGAATTGACCAAAGCTTGTGTCAGCAATATGTATATATTGTAATAGTCAATCTATGATTGGAAGGACACAAAATTGTATGTATAATGGTATGTCTTGACACATATATCGTAAATATAATACTGTTAGAAAGTTGCTCTCAAATGATATTATATTCATTAACTATGTGAAGACAAAAGATAATATTGCGGATTCACTTATAAAATGTTTGATTAGAGAATAAGTAGAAAGTTCAACAAGGGAATGAGATTAAAGCCTATTACTTAACCAAGAGTCACCATCGTGGCAACCCAACTTAACTGATTGAAGATCACAAGATCTAGGTTCAAAGAGACAACCAAATTATGTGTAACTCAAAAACCCATTGAAGAGGTTTTCAACTCTTTCTCATTCCTATGATAAGACAGTGTATATCTGCTGCAAGAACTATGATAAGTTATGCTTTTAATGATTTTTGTGACTTAAAAAAGTCCAAGTAGGGTATAGCAGGTTAATCTTAATTAGAAATCACCTATGTGAGTAAGAAGGGGCTATTTTTATGAGAATTATAGGTTGATTACTCTAAATTATTCATAAAACCTAATGGTGTTCAAGGTCAAAATGAATACAAACGTGAGAACCAATTATGTCTGAAGGAAATTATGTGAATTCTATTATCTTGGTTTACACAAATATCTGACAATTAAAAGACATTAAGTCCACTGATTAGCCAAATAAATCCGATAATCTTTTACTAAGGAAAGTTTTTTTTGAGACAAACTAAGGAAATTTCAAGGCCACTAGATTACTTATCCCGATGCACTAATCTTTTAACTGTACTCACACTATCATCTGTATTTTCATTCATGTGGAAGATTGTTGAACAAAATTGTTTTGATAAAGTATTTTTGAACAATTTTGAACTTAAATAAAAGTGGGACTCACATCTCAAAATTTGTGAAACTATGTTTAAACGTGTTCTTCTATGCAAGAAGATTAATGGGGTATATTTACTTGTTCAAAATTATTACGTATTAATGAGAAATTATGTCTCAAAGTGACTCACTTGAATGGATGGAAGAAACTAAGAATGATATGATATAGTGTAATAAGGTTTTTCCCACATTGGAAGGAAATAAAAAACTTAGTGGGTATATTCCTAATTGATTTCATGGGATGGGCCTCAAAAAGTACCACCCTTTTGTGAGTGGAACGAGCACCTACACAACCTTGGTTCTCATGCACGTCGTCGCATGCCTCACCTCGCCACACCACACGTGTGCGTCGCCCGCCTTACAAAAATTTATTTGGTGCGGTGCGGTGCGGATTATGCATCAAATCAAATGGATCCAAATGTGAATCGCATTTATTCTTCCAACTGAAATTCAAAATTTTGTTCGTTATTTTTTTAATTTGGCGTTACATTTGAATTGTATCTGTTCACACTCCATAGGTGTCTTTCCCTTTTGTTACTGTTCAGATTAAAAGTGTGTCTCTTCAAATCGAACGAATACAACAAACAGTGACATCTCATAACTGTTCAAGCAATCCAAACAGACACAATGAGGACTATAAAAGGACTCTCTTACAGTCGTTCTCAACAATAAAAAAAATTCTAAATTCTAGTTTATTCTCTCTCTGCATACTACATTATTGTTCTATTCGGTTCAAGTACAAAACACAAGTTGTGTTATATGGTTTTTGAAGATTGAAGTACTACTTCTTCAGAAACAAAATCCGTTCTATCTTAAAGACAATTACTTATTAACTTTGAGCACCGAGAGGAGAGCAATTATGTCTTAAGAAAACTATAGATCACAGAGCTTAGATTATTTCTTATTTCTGTTATTTTCTTATTGTTGTTCTACAATCAAGTAGTGCTTTATTTTTATTTATAAATAAATCCTGTTTTATATTATATAATGATTCGTATATAACAATATACTTAATAATTTAAATTTATGATAGTAATTAGTATTATAAAATTCTGATTATATATTGGATAACAAGTCCATCTTCTCAATCACAAGACAACCAAAAAGAAGAGCTTCAGGAGAGCTTAAATGAACTCCTTACATATCATTGTTGGACAGAAATTGGTAATACCCAAACACCAGAACACGGCAGGACTCGAATTTTCCAAAAAATCTTTTTTTTTTATAATTCTACTTTATGTTTCTTTCTTTTCTCTTCTCTTTTTGTTAGAATAAAAATGAGAAGTTTTAAAACTTTTAATTGATTTTATTATTTATTTTCATTTGATTTTCAGTTTCTAATTGATATGTTTTAATAGGATAATGAATAATGGTTTTAATGGGGTTTTTTACTTAATTTCAATGGCTAGGCTGACACTAGCCGTTGGAGCTATAAAGCCTACAATTCTTAAGCTTTTCCAAATTCTCTGTATAAGCAAGTAAAGTAGCAAAGGGCATTGAAATATTCTAGTATGAAGAATCAGACTTCTTCACCAACGTCCAGCTTCATTCCACCTTGTTTTCTGCCATATATGTTTCTACACATTTTTCTATTATCATGTTTCGGGTAATTTGTTTCGTGCTAGATTCATCCCCGGTTCTCAGTATACGTGAATCTTAAAGACATTTATCCTTGAGTCTGAATTGAATCTTAGAACTACATATTTTTCAGATCTCACAAACCAACTCTTTTCAATCTCTATATTTTTATATATTATTTATTCTTCATATGATTATATCTATTTTAATCTGGTTTAATTTTCCAAACTTGGAGCATCCAATTTTCTAAACCCCCCCCCCCCCTTTCTCTCTCTCTCTCTCTCTCTCCACACAAAACAACAACTAATGCGCTGCATGAGAAGGTACACCACCCAATCTTTGTGAGATCTAACAGCCTGCCCTTATGGAATCTCATTGAGTCCATAAAGTCTAGCTTCACATCTCATTACAGCAACTCAGCTCAAACCTAAACAATCAACAAAACTTTCCATTGTGCTCAGCATAGGGAGAGAAAGAAGAATGGATGGCAAGAAAAATAGCAGCAGCGGTGGTGGCGGCGGTATTAGCTTCTTTCAGATGCCCCTACACTACCCAAGGTACACCAAGAAGGACTATGAAGCCATGCCTGAGTGGATGCTAGACAGGCTTCTTGCTGAATATGGGTTATCTGCTCATGGTGACTTGGCCTTCAAGAGGGAGTTTGCAATGGGTGCCTTCCTCTGGTCAAATGTTGTCCAGGGTCCTCCTAAAGCTCCAAAGTCCTCTCTTTACCAGAGTTTTGAGTATTTTCTTCACAAGAAGAATGTGTAGGTGACAGTTATGTTTCTACTCTCTATCTCTCTCTAATATCCCATAACCTTACCAGAACCCAGACCACCCTCCCCCCACCCCCCACCCCCGGGGTTAAAACAACACATCTGTACACACTACCCACAGTTCACCCACACACCAGTTCGCCCAAAATATGGTACATGTCGGCGATAAGGTCATAGAAATAATTTATTGTAATGGTGATAAAGGAGTCTGGGAGGCCATAAACTTAAAAAAAAAGAAGAAATAGCCACTAGTTTCCACCATTGAGGTTGTCTCTATCGTACACCTCTCCAACTACAACTATAGAAGACCACAATAGAGTATGGTCACCACATATAAATAAAGGCAAAGTATTAATGTCATCTCTTGAAATCCAACAAACGACTCCTTACCATTTGTTGAGCTGAAAGGTTTCCACTGTCGCTGCCCCGATGGGGATTATGTCTTCCCGATGAGGATTATGTCTTCATTGTTCCTTACAATGACACGCTAAAGAGAAAAGAACCATTTAAAGCCACTGGACGAGTAACCACGTAAGAATGAAACACAATGGCAATTGTGAAATGCATAGACAAAATTTCACCCTTCAAGAAAGCATTAGAATGTTATTAACAACCAACTATAAACAAGCTATGCATAGCTAAAGCTTTGTTGATAACATCACTGCATTTAAGTTCTATGGCACTTTCAAAAGGCAACTAAAAGGATTAGGCCCGCCTCCGCATGCGTCTGACAATGGGATTCACAGATTCTCCAGCAGCCCCATCTGCTGCTAAATCTAAGCCAAAGATGCTGCTGCCACTCCTCTTCCTACTCAACGGACCCGACTCATCATCCACAGATGCAACTGTTTCTAGCAGGTCAGCCAACAAAGAGGGGCAGCTCTCTTCCAAATACTTGAACCCTTCTGACTGCATAACCACTGCAAAACATGGCAGAAAAAGAATTTCAATATTTGTCATAATAACTAGGCTACAACACATACATATAGGCAAACATGGAGTAGGAGGGATCCCCAAAACCAGCAAGTACGAATTATTCACATCTTGCTAACATTTGGTCTGAAAATGACAAATGGTGAATCCTTGAGGCAATATGCAGAACACACATGAAAAAGTGATGAATAGAACAGAACCAATATCAAGATGCTACTTCATCGACATTATCTCAAAGCAATTAGATAATACTACATAGAATTAAAAGCTTTCTTTCCACCATATTAAAGATTTTCAAACTCCTACCTAGATCGACATAACTCCATTTCCAGATCTACATTAGCCCCCACCCCCCACCGGGAAAAAAAAGAGATGTTTGAATGCCAGCGCTCTTCATAAATCTAAAATTTGAACATATTATCTATGACTGATTGAATCTACTTGATATATGCAGAGCATACGCACAATTTCTCAAGTAATATAACAGTAGGCTCTTTTGTAGGTGTCCAAACAGGAGTGAACATGGAAACCATGGCAAAGTGTCTAACATGGCAATCATTGATAGTGAGGCGTGAGCTTTCATGACATTAGTAACATGTGATAGTTTGTTTGCTTTCTACTAAAACACCGTCAAATCATGGATCAATGGAAACTGTAATTAATAAATAAAAAATAAGACAGGATGGACACTAGCATATTATAAAAACTCTCTACAACTTTCTTTTTTTACCCTTTTGGTAGGTACAAAAGACACTCATCCAAACCTGGAAATGAAGCGCCCCCCCCCCCCCCCCCCCCAAAAAATAAAAAATAAAAACCTACCCCCTCTCTTCAGGATTCACAAGACATTGACTCAACCTAACAGCTGGAAAAATTCTGTAAATTTAATCCAAAATCCCAACAAAATTAGACCCAAGCGTGACCTATTTCTGTGTCCCTGCAAAGCATTATAGGAGAGAATCCCCGTCTTAACAAAGTAATTGGCATTCTTATCAACTGAAACCAGGCCATCATGAAGACATAGGCTGGGGTGGAGGAAATACAAAAAATCTTCAGAAGTTTTTGACAATATATCCGTTCAAAGACAATCCGTATATCTCCTACTTTCATAGACTTTGCCCAAATGCTCCACTGACTTTTCACAAACTATAGTATCTGCAAATGCCTCAATACCTGATTGACAGTGATGCTCAAATGTATGTCTGCTTCATAGTTATACTTGGATATGATGGTCATTACACCATTGGGAATGTATGCCATTCAAAAATATCCCTACTTGCAGAGAGGAAGTACTAGTTTTATCCCAAAAAAAAAAAAGTACTAGTGTTGAGAACAGAAAGAGAGGCCAATGAGGGAAAGCAAAAGTAATCAGAATAGAACTAATCCATATTCCATAGTAACCAAACTAAAATCAGACTCTGACTTGATAAAGACAGCAGAATGTCTGTCAATCACACAGACCAAAAAATCAGAATATATTTAATTTTTGCAGTTGAGTGCCCAAACATATTGCATTTGTATTGTAGACATATATATATACACATGTGTTTATCCATGCCTGCTCATGCGATGCCTGCATTTCACCGCTGCTGCCCATGCTGCCAAGTACTAGATGTAGATTCAAGCTTTTTAGAAGGGGAGTCAATCTTATCTTGTTCATTTCTTCAGCTTTATAGCCTTTCATGTTATCATCATTGCTTGTATTGCACCAATGGTTGGATCTTTTTCTAATCCGGTTTCATGAGACTTTGGTTTCATAGAAGTCTTAACGATAGGGAAACTTTGGAATTGGTCTCACTTTTTTCTTAGCTTGGTAATGTAAATTTGCATCATGAGTTAATTGACAAAAGAAATTGGATCACTGATTCAACAGGGGTTGTTCTCTTGTAAATCTTACTTTGATTCTTTGATTGATGACATCACTCTTCCAATTTTTCATCCATCTTTGAAGATATGGAACGCTAAGGTGCCTTTGAAAGTGCAAGTTCATGCATGGGTCATTGCTCATGGAAAGCTTAACATTAATGGTTTGCTAAAAAAAAGAAGACCTCATACTTGTCTCTCCCCTCAATAGTGTGTTATGTGCAAGAAGGATTGTGAGAATGTGAACCAATTTTTTTTGCATTGGCTTTATGGAATAAGTTGTTTGAAATTGCTGGGCTTTCTTGGGTGGTTCCAAATTCAATCTCAACTATAGTGTGTGTGGATTCTAAAGGATTTGGAAGGAAAAAAAGACAAATATGGACACCTTGTTTGGATAATATCATTTGTATTTATTTTCCCATGAGCACATACTTGCACCTTCAAAGGCACCATAGTTTTCCAAATCTTCAATAGTGGATAAAAAATTGGGGAAGTCGAATCATTAATCACGGAATTAAAATAAGATTTCCATGAAAACATTGTCGCTGAGTCAATAACCCAACTCCTCTTATCAATTGTCTCTTGATTTAAAAAAACATTCTCAAGCACAGAAAGAAGAGAAATCAACTCCACCGATTCCATATCATTGAGATTTCGACAAAATCCAAAATCTCAAGATACCGGAAAAGAATAAGTGACGCAATGCGAGAATGATGATAACAAGAAAGGCTATAAAGCCAAGAAAACAAACCATCCAATGAGACTTGTCCAATCCACACATCCTCCCAAAATCTCACTCTCTCCACTGCCCACTTGAAACTTAACCCTTTGAGAAAAAAAAGACAAACCTTGAAAATTGAATTTCCATGAGTCCCTTTCAATGAAACCTCCATAGTCATTTGCCAACCAATGCTACATTTCTTGCTTTTAAATTTCCCAATGCTAATCCTCCTCTAACTGTAGTACTCGAAACCATCTCTCAACTAACCAAATGATCCCTTCTACCTTCCCCACTACCCTCCCATAAGTAATCCGTCATCATCTCTTCAATTTTGTCAACCACCACACTTGATATTTTAAAGAGACAAAAAAAATAGATAGAAATACTAGCAAAAACCGATTGAACTAAAATGACTTATCCCCTCTAGAAATAAAGACTTTCTCTCATCCATCCAATCTCTTACCTATTTTCTCAATAACTGGATCCCAAAACCTTGTAGACAAAAGATTACCACCTAAAGAAGGCCCAAATACTTTAAAACTCATTCTTCCATTGAACATCCTAACATCCCAGCCACTCTAGAGATTTTTCCTTGATCCACATTAATTCTAACAATCATACGTTTCTCCATATTAACCTTAAGACCCGACATCACCCCAAAGATCTCCCAATCTAGTTAAAATTTAAAAATTTCTCCTCATCAACATAATTAAAAAAAATGGTATCATCTGCAAACTATAAATGTGAAACTTATACCATGTCCTTACCAAGCATAAAACCTTCCACCAAGTTACAATGTTCTGCCCTCAAAATTAACCTACTCAGTCCATCCACAACCATAGTAAATAAAAAAGAAGACAAAGGATCCTCTTGTCCAAGTCCTCTAAATGCCATAATCTACCCCTTGGCTTTCCACTTAGGATGACAAAGAAATTAATAGACTTTAGGCACCCACTAATCCATTTCCTCCATCTATTCGCATACCCCTTAATTTCCATCACAAAATCTAAAAAACTTCAATCCACATAATCATTAGCTTTCAAAAAATTAATCTTGAAAACAATTCATTCCTTTCCTCGAGCTCTATATTCGTCTACCACCTAATTTACCACCAAAGCAATATCCATAAATTTGTCTTCTTTTTACAAATGCCCCTTAAAATCATGAAATAGTATCACTTAAACTCTCCCTCAACCGAATAGACAAAACTTTGGCAATAATCTTGTAAAGACTAATCGGCCTAAAGTCCTTTACTTTAATAGAGTTTGCCTTCTTCAGGATCACACAAATAAATGTTGCATTAGTAATACAATTAACCACACCAATTTGCCAAAATTCAAAAAACACTAATTAAATTAATTTTCACCACCTCTCAACACTCTTGAAAAATAACCATCGTAAAACTGTTCAGCCCAAGTACTTTTTTCTCGACTATACTCAAAGATAGCACTCCTCACTTCTAACTTATCAACCGCTCTCTCCATCCACCTTGAGATCCTTTCTTCAATGGGGCACCACTTTAGGTCTACTTTCTTCAAAAGTCCTATATAAATTAGAAAAGAAACTCAAAACCTCTCTTTCAATTTGATCATCTTCCTCAACAAAGACTCCTCCTTCAACTTTCAATCTATTAACAATTGTCTTTTTCCTATTCCCATTTACAATTCTATGAAAGAACTTTGAATTATTATTCCCCTCCTTCACTCAAAATTTGTCTCAGCCAATCTCCTCTCTAAAAATAACCTCCACAAATTTATTTCTAAGCTCTCATCTCTCTTTTCTTAATCCCTCATCTAAACCCCCTCTCTCCTAAATCTTATCAAGATCTGCAATCCTATCCATAATACCACTCTTAATAACATAGGTATCACCAAAAACCGTCTTATTCTACACTTTTATTTTTCTCTTAACAAAATCCATCTTTTTCATAAATTTGTAACTCTCTTATCTATCAAAGCAACCATCTTCTCACCAATCCTTAAACTTTCCTCTAAAAGTGTGATCTTCCAGCCACATATTCTCAAATCTAAAAGGACTCAGACCCCATTTGATTCTAGAATTATCAAGAATAATAGGACATTGATCAGAAGCAACTCAAGGTAACACTTCTTGTCCACACCGAAAAAAGTACTCCTCCCACTCCACGGTAAATAAGAACCTACCAACCCTTTTACACACTACAGCCTCCCTAAATTTGACCATGTAAAGACACCATTTGCCAAATGTGGGTCATTAAGTTCAGTTTGTCTAATAAAAGTATCAAAATCCGACATGCTATTAGTGACTCTTCCCCCATTAAGTCTTTCTCTAGAATACCTAATGACATTAAAATTTCCTCCTATACACCATTTTGGACCGCATATGCCAAACAATCCAGCTAACTCCTCCCGCAAAGACATTCTCAACCTAAGCTTATTAGGCCCATACATCCTCGTTAACCACCACTCATGCCCATCCTTCACCTTCACTTAGTTCCTCAACCAAAACAAATCTTTCATCCCACATAATGACAATGCCCTCTGATCTACCCACAAATAGTAAAAAAAACCCAATTACTATACCTAGATCCCCACATACTTTTGACAATTTTCCTATCAACAATTTTCATCTTTGATTCTTACAAAATGACAATATCTGGACTACTTTCAAAAGAAACTCTTAAATGAAGCTTCTCTTTCGAATAGATCCTAACCCCCAAACATTTCAACTAATTATCTTCATATCTAACCAAGAGACTCTCATCAATTTTATTCTAGTACCATAGTTATTCACCTCATAATTAACCCCAAATTGCAAGTTTCCCTCATACCAAATAATACCAAAATTTGTTGTGGCACATTCGCTATTATTATTAAAATTTGTATCACCAAAACTCAATTGCTTAAATTTGGTTGTTTTTTGATTCCCGTGCAACCCCACTGCCCACTGTTGGCCATTTTTTTCTTTCCAGACCCAAATTTTGGTCTCCACCTTTTACACCACCTGACCACTATCATAATCCTCCCCCCACTTTTTTCCACCCTCCACTCTCTCAACCCTCCCAACAACCCCAGAAGAACCGTTCAAAGATACAAGACAAAAATCATTCCCAAACTTATCCATCACTTCAGACTCAGAAAATTTATTGCACCCAACAAAAGTACAAAAATATACATTAAGTAACATATCGGAAGCATTACTTACCTCACTTAAAGGTCCCCTACTTGTATGAGTCCCTTGTGCCCTTTCCAACTTTCCAGAACCTTCATCTGCCTCACTTTGAAACATCAGAATCCCCTCACATACCTGCTCACAATTTGGTTCAACCTCTTACTCGCTTCGATCTGACAAATCTAACGAGCTTTTCCCAGACCTAGAGCTCCCAAAAGACTTTCCAACAACTTCATTAATATCAAACACTCATTCATCCACCTCCCCCATATTCTCCTTCATCGATGTGAATATCATCACAATCGAAGTCGTCACATGTAATATGCACTCCCACTGCTCCTTCACTAGCTACAGATTTTCTTAATTCGTCATCTCCATTTTTCGAAACGTGCGGATGATCTTGCAACCTTCTTCAATCGTTGCAGACATCGCTAGAGAGAAGAAAACTGTGTTCTACCCTTGCCCTTGACGATGTCTCCCCTTATACCTCCCACTCATTTTTTGATTAAAAAGATGGGTCGATCCGAAAGTTTTCATTAAATGGGTTAATCAATCTAGGACTAAATTTCCAAATCAAATTACATCCAAAATGCTATATACTTCCTTAGAAATTCGGTTTTTTAGCACATAACACAATCCAACGGGACCACGTAACGGGTTCGTGTGTGACCTATCATTCATTGGAGCAAGATGGTGTAGAGATTCGCAAATTGCAATAACGACTAGCATTACAGAGAGTACGTACAACACAACAAATCAATCTTAATTAATTTGCTTACAGTAATCGCGATTTGAAAAAACAAAAGATTCATTGTGGTATAGAATTCCAGAATAGCTTTTTCAATTATGACTATTCCTTGACATGTGTAAGCACAAACAACTATATATGCACACAATCAACTCAACAAAGTCTAATCATAGCCCCATGGGGTTGCCATGGCAATGTACCTCCATTACATTTACATCACATGTCAACTTGTTCTTTCTCACACCTGACACATGCGTGTTTGGCCATTCCTCTTGTCCTCCTTCAAATAATAACACTTTTGTCCATTGATGCATTCATCAGTTGTACTAAATATATGAACTTCTACGAGTGACTTATAAATGGTACACAGCCAATTAAAGTAAAAGGTGGCAAGAGAAGGCAAGAGGGATAAAAAAAAAAGTAGAAAATGATAGCTGAAATAAAATTATTCTAACTCAAGCTAAAGCCTCGACATCATAACTTTTAGCACCTGTAGGAGATGCAATACCCTTCAGCCCATGCAACTGTCTGGCTGTATTATGCAGTAAGAAGACCCGTTTGGAGCAGTTCTAACTGGTTGATGTCCATTGTCCAGATTAGGCCAACTGGAAAATCACTTGGCAAAAATACCAGACCACCACGTTATCAATTGAAGGTGCTAAACAACGTCTACTCCAATAAATAGGATAAAAAAAAATTGAAGTCATGGGCTCTTAATCCCCATCCTAATACAGGTTCCAAACACTTATTTTATCTCCCTAGCTGAAAATCCCAACTGTTTATTAGTTCAACGGGTAAACCACTTCAAATCAGTAAGACAGTAACTATGATGGTAAAACCTTAAAGTTATAGGTACAGAAGTCTGAAGCCCTTATAACAAAAGTCGCCTTAAAACTCTGCAATGCATTCAGTTCTTTGCTTTCCCCTTTCAAGGAGTGTTCCGTCCTGAGCCAAGTGCTACCCTATCTAGATAGTTAGGGTAGCTGGCTCTACCTCTATCCTCTAGGAAGGATAGGCATAAGGGCTAAGAATACTGAACAAGTCAAGAAAGGGTGCCCCTAAATTGGCTCACAGCAGAATACTAACCACTGACTGCCCTTCTCCAATATATCTACCCCAAAAACCATGAAACAAAACAAGTACAAGCAGGAGAGGGCAGAAGATCCCTACACAACAAATTACTAATCACTTTTTTGCCAAATATGATAAAAGAGGACACGTTGACCCAATAACCACCATCCAGAGAGTGTTCCAAAGCTATTTACCACAATAAAAGGCCCAAGAAAACAGACTCAAACTTCCTCTCAATAGCAAGTCACAAGTCTTTACCTTTCCAACGAGGCAGAATCAGTAGGATACTTTATCTTTCAGGGGCACTATTAGAATCCATCGTCATCATCGGGAAATAATTACTTTGATTTTCACTTAAGCAACACAACATGTGCAACCATTACAAAAATGCCTTCATTTTCTGATTTAGCAAATAAAAAGGGCCATGAAGAACATTTTCTATAAACCGAGATAAGACATAAGCGGGGAAGGAATCGTCTTCTATTGAATTCAGAATAAGAATACGATTTGCAGAATGGGATTCGTCCAATTTCTTACTGGGACTTTTGGACTTCAAACTGGAACAAGAAGTGATTGTTGGACCAACGACGATCCTATCCTAAAGAAGGAGGAGGAGGAGCTTAGCCATAGGATCTAGACTCAATAAGCTAATCCTCAACTAAGACCAGAGAAAGGGAGGGCGCATCTTACCTTGAAGTAAAGGAAAGACCAAACTTTCTACTTATGAATGATATCTGACGACCTTGACTTCGGGAAATAGATGAAGAAGACGGGGAACTACCTTCGGAGAGAGTCCCCGGATTTGCACTTCATTATTACCCTAACAACTCAGAAGCTTGAACATGCAAAAAACAGATAAACCAGTTAAAACCTAAACCACTACTCATATCCTCAAAGGAACATTATTGCAAGAAACACATCAAGGTGAGAATCTCTTCAAAAGACACAAACACATGCAGAGGGACCAAAGAGACTTGCTTCAATTTAAAACCAGGCAACTTTACAATCTCAAAGCTCTGGGCTTTATTCTCATTATAAATACCTATATTGACAATCATTTAACAATCCTTCTCAAAAAATAAAAATTCATATGATAAAGAAAAGGACAATCAGCCCACCCGGAAAAAAATTCTTGACACAACCTGCGTAAGTAAACCCAAAACTACAGCTTTACGATATCATCAATAAAAGGCACAAATTTCATATCCTGACATCTATAGAAAAAGATACATTGCACTTTTCCAGATATGTACATGGACGCTTCAAGAGTATTTCTGCAGCTTAAACAGGCAAAACACCAAAATTGACATAACCTGAAACATTGCACCGGTCAGATTCTACGGACAACACGCACCTCCCAAGTTTGCCGCTGCAAATTTCAAACAAATGGCCTTCAGCTGCTGACACCGATGTTGCTCAGCCAATGAAAGAGTCGTTCCCACTGTATCAGCACTTACTTCTTCACACAGCTTAGCTTCACATAATTGCTTCAACCGATCTAAACCAAAGCGATCGGCAGCAGCCAACAGATGTTGCATTATGATTGTAGATGTACACATATATGTTGAGCCCGTGATTTCATGTAAATCAGGAAGCTTATCAGCGTAAATAAATATGAGCATAGCCTGCAAATGGATGATAGGCCAACTTGAGTCATCTTAGCCCACTAACATAAAACAAAGTTTTCAGCAAACGTGTACAACAAGGATTTGTAGAACAACTGTTAAGCAGAAAAAATCAGCTAGCCCATCAATCTAAAATGTTAAAAAGTAAGCACTACTCAAGTAACCACCGAAGTTTCACTTCTAGGACCATCAAAATAAGCTAATAGCGGGCCTAGCTTAAATTATCACACAGTATCTTAACAAAGTTCCGATTGATTTAAACTTCCTTTTCTTTTTGTATTATTTCATAAAAGCAACACCCTCTTATCAGCTAGCTCCTAAGGGTACAAGTAAAACACTATGTTTCAGACAGCAATATCACCACAGAAATTGAACACTGTTTTTTATTTCTCAGAAAATTCATATTCATATTTTAAGCTTCATACTGTCTATGAAACAAAGGGCCTGCTTGTAGGCACTGTCAAACCATGAGAACGAAATGGCTCATAGAAGTTAGAAGCCTTCCAACTCACTATGATGACACTTCAGGAGAAAAGAAAAAAAAAACTAAGACTACATAAAGAGCTACATATCCACATATCTTCTCATGTATCCGTCAACCTGATCAATTGATCATATGATCAAGTGCTCTAATGCCGAGTGCAACAACATAACAATAGTGCAAGAATACAGTGATCAAAACACATTCCAAGTTCCAAAATTCCAATATGTGAAATCATGCGGTAGTGGTACTACATTAAACATAAAAGAAACAAATATATAACAATTAATTACACCACTTTTACCAATTTGAGATATGTATGCTAGTGGTCTCTCTATCTTTTCTTTCCTTGGGATATGATTTATGGGAAGAAAATTCATTCAGGTAACATCACCTTGAAGATAGAGGGCTCAATATCCTCCAAAACAACGTTATCCATATTCGGATTTCCAATGAGCCCAAAAAATTGGGCTCGAAATACAGGAGAGCGAGCAGCCAGTATCAACTTGTGAGCTTTAAACATCTCATCGCCAACCTTGAAAACTATATCACTACCAACTTCAGATTCCAGCAAGTACTTAAGATTCTGGCCCATGTCTGATGGTGGCATCTGAATACTATATTGTTTGGGTCGCTCAACCCGATTTCTGACAACTCCCACTGTGCAATGCATTGCAAGACAATCATCCTTTAGATAATCAGAAGTTTCTAAAGTTGCCCTTCTGAAAAACCGCTTGTAACCCCTGAAATGGATGCAATACAATAACATGAGACATAGTACATTAACAAGTGCCCATTCCCATTCCTTGTTCTCATTCAAATCCACAATACTTTAACACATATTCTCAATACCAGACAAGGTGATGGATCTCTTTATTTTCATCAAGACTTGCACTCGCATTATGCAAAATATGCAAAAATTCAAAATATGATATCATGCATTAACCAATAACTCTCAACTTATACAACACAATTTAATTACAACTAAATGATGAAATCCAAAAGAATTGCAAATTCTCCTCAACTTTTTCATCTTAGCTCGTTTCAAACAGGTCTCATAAAATTTAATTCAGTCACGTTCCAAAATCTATGTGTTGACAGACAAACAAGATTAAACAATTGAAATTATTTCACAAGAAGTGGCAAATCTCTATAACTCAACTGAACTCGAATAATCATATCCTAGAGTTTCAAGTTTCCCAATCCAACTAAACAAAGCATATTCCAGCTTTGGAGTCAAAGTCCTGAAGTCTCAACATCCGAACCAATTGGGGGTTATAGGCTTTGCCAAAACAAAACCTGGTAAAAGAGAGAACAAGTGCATCTAAATATTTAACATTCTGCAGCATTAAAAAAGTGATAAATACTGAGGATTATCATGTCACGGAGGATAAATCACAGTAATCAATGCGTAGAACATGAAAGTCTACATGAAATCACATATATCAATGAGAGGTAACGTGCATACAAATATATACACATGTATGCAGGTATCTAGGCCAAAGTTGCTAAAAAAGCCTGTCAAGCTTAATGGAGTTACCATTCATACAAAATTAAATTACAATGCATAGTAAATTAGAGTTGAAAAAAATGTTCTGTTCATTGAACATATACGAAAAATAGAACAAGTCACACAACATAAATCTCATTATACTCCGATATCATTTCCAATCCAAAGTAAAATATTCTCATATTAACCACAACATATTTACTGTTATCAGCTTGCTTCTAACAGAACCTTGTTTCATCCACCCAACCCACATCCCTAAGGGCCTAAACCCTAATTCAGCACAATTAAACATCAAATTCATACATAACCATTCATAGAGATACACTGAGACACACCCCACATGTTTCACACCAAAATCTTTTTTTCAAGAAACCCTAATTCCAAAACCTAATTCATCAAAATTAAACACGTATTCTACCGACACGTATACACAAACATACCACATGCTTCCTCTGTATTTGAGAGTATAAGGCCCACTCTCCAAAGCCCGATCAAAATGACTATGAACTTTATGCTTCCCTTTCCCACTCTGATCCAACAGAGTCAGCTCAAACAAAGCCCTCACGTCCGTCCCTTCACTCGCTAAAGCAATGAACACCGAAACGTACATCGAAGAGTCCTCAATATTCTTACCGTCGGGGTAGAAATAAATCGCCCAATCGTAACCACCGACGGTGAATACATCGCTCGATATGTACTTTCCGGGCCCCATTCCTTTGGCCAGAGAGTAACCTCGGATTGTGAAATGGTGGGACCCATTTACCGTCTCGTTTATCGATTTTGAGTAGGAGTCGTGGTTCTCGATCATTGCATTTGATTGGAAAAATGGAAACCCTAGGAAAAGGGATTGTAGAGGGAATTGGGAATTGGGAATTGGGTATACGTGAATGAATGGAGGGCTTGAGAGCGATGAATTGTGATGAGCTAAAAGGTAATTAGGAGCTGAGAGGGTGGAATTGGGGAGGAAAGAGAGGGCTTTGGGGATGTTTGGCGGGTGAAAGGAAATGGGCAAAAGAACAGAATGGGGGGAAATAAAGGGTGAAAAAGAAACCACAAAGCAGGGCTGTTTAATAGGTACCCGTCTAATTCCTTGTATCGAGGTTAAGAGTTTAAGGATTAGAGTTTTTATTGGAGTTTGTTGGTTAGCTGTTATGGTCACGAGAGGTGTTCTAAGAGCCGTTAGAAGCTTTATAATCCACCTGATGAAAGTCTATTAGGTCGTTAAACATTTTTTTTTGCTTCTGCCTTTTTAAAAGAGAAGAAAAAGGTCTATTAAAAAAAAAAACAAAGGGTGAGAAAGAAAATAAACAATCATGTGTTTTGATTTTTTGGGGTCTGTGTAATAATGTTGTTACCTAAGAAAAATGAGTGAGGTTTTGTAATCTTTTTGGGGTCTTTTTTTTGGCAGCCATAATTATACAACATAGACGATTAAATTCGAATCACCGAATTTAAAGTCTAACAACAATAATTATGGTCATTAAATCAATTATTAACCTTAATGGTAATGCATTTTGCATTTAAGAGTGTTTTGGAGATTCGAATGCGTGAGAAAAATGAGTTTGTGTAATCTTTTGGGGGGTTTGTTTAGTGTTTTCATAAATTTTTGTACACAGTGGACATGACGGAGGAATGCGGCTGCAGTTTGGTGGTGGGAGAAACTACATACACTGAGAAAATCAGTTGTGATATGGTGGCACCGTCAAAGCAATTCAAATTTAAAACAAAATAAAAAAATCTTATTTAATTCTATACTAAAACTCATAGTAGATCAAAGGAGTTTCAAATTTCTACCAAAAAATTTAAACATTTATTCAAATAACTTATTGCTATATTTTATTATCTGTGCGTGCTGGATTTTGCATAATATAAACACGAGAATAGATATCTTCCTTTGTGAACTCGAGTGAGTCAATCGAGTGATCAATCCTGCTACTTGGAACAGCCTGTGAGGTCCGGTGATAATCTGGAACGGTAATGGGAGACTCTCGTGAATCAATGGAACGATTCAGTAAGACTGAGGAGGGTTCCTGAAACAAAGAAAGACAAGTTAGAAGGGCGCCAGAATGTTTTCCAGCGTACCCCCTCCGACGATCAAGTCAATTTTTGAGAGAGAGGAAGAAGAAAACACTGAGTATAATTTGTAGCAAAGGTTTTTCGTTGCATACCGTCTTGTCTTTTTCGAGGAGTATTTATACCTCAAAAACTCATGATTGATGTCAGTGTGGTCAGTAGGTAATCATTAGGTACAGGCAACGTGTGCACGATTTTCTATGAGGAATGTCTTCTCTTTTAACTGCTCGGAATCCTAAGCAACCAAGGCTGTGTCATCGACCTGCCGACTGTTCAATGAGCTCCTCTCGAGGAGGATGTAATAAATGTCCAGCCTTAGAGACATTTATTACCTTTCACTTTCGAGCCTTACCGCATTAAATGTTGTCTCATCAAGGAAATGGTGTAATTAAATGCTTGTTTTCCCAAGTCATGTGTCAGCAAGGACATCCGGTCTTTCTGTCTCTGATGTGACACAATATACCACGCGTCCATTCCTCATTGGTTGTGTCCCCTGCCTTCCTGTGCCTTCTGACACCAATTGTGTAAGACGAGGTCACGATAGCTAACCTAGTCTAGCCTAGGCTAGTGACCTTTACATCAATAGCCTCTGCAGGAGCACAGAACGCCATCCTGGACGGAGGGTACATCTCGGTACCGAGGGGGGAGTACATCTCGGAGCCGAGAGGGGAGGTACATATAGCGACCGATATACCCATATCAGACCGAGGAATACATGTCGGTACATAAACGTACTGGATGTCACTTGATCCCTTATGACAAGTACCTCGGGGGAGAGGGACTTGTAAACCGATGGGGTACGTGATCTCAGTAACAAAGATTTAGTAACACCGAGAACACGTGTCTTTATCTTGGAATATTTCGCAAATGTCCCATTATTATCCTTTAAAGATTTAATAGTCATTTTATTATCTTTTAAATTTGAGTTTATATTCATTTAAATTTAAATTTTTTCCTCCTTTAAATTTGAGTTTATATTCGTTTAGATTTGAATTTTTTCCTCATTTAAATTTGAGTTTCTCATATTCTCCATTACAACATTTTATATTAAATTAAACTTTTTACTCAAATATTATATCAAATTTGAGTCAAAGTTGGATTCTCTAAAGGGATCACGTGGTCATTTTGGACCTGTTTAATTTGTGTATCAAAAAATAGTATTCGAAAATTATTTTTTAGAATAATTTTAGAAAAAATAATTTAATATTTTTTATGTTGCAGAATTTGTTTAGTTATAGTATGATTCAAAAAACAGTTATACAGAATATTAAACGGTAAAACTTATTTGGACAATAAATTAAAAAATAATAAAAATATAAAATGTGGCGATAGTAATAGTGATAGTGATTGTGGTGGCGGTGGTAATAGTGTGGTGATGGTGGTGGTGGGAGTGTGGTGACGGTGGTAGTGAAAGTATGGTGACGGTGATATTTTATAAATTTTAGAAAAATTATTTCAAAAAATATATAAAACAGTTATAACACGTTATTTAAAATCTGTTTAATTTTTATTTTCAATAAACAAAAATAAAAAATATCTTGTCAAATATTTTTTTTTACCAAAAACTGTTTTCGAATGAGACGTTGGGCTTTTATTTTTAACACGTTTCGGCACTAAACACGAAGTTCACAAAATTCCATTCACCTCTTTGTAACTTGAGCAAATTCACCTCCTTCACTTTGCCAGCTAGCTTTGAGCAACCATCAGTAGTATCACCGTTTCTACACCCTTCGATCGCCGTAACCGACGAAGACCGACCACGCTCAATCTCTCTCTCCCTACCTCCCTCCCTCCCACGCATACGCACACACACCCATCCACTCTTTCACACATCACAAACTGAGACTGAAGAGGGGAGGGAGAGAGAGAGAGGGAGAGAGCAAGTCTGAGTTGAAATTGAAGAATGAAAGGTATGAACAATGGAGGAGATATATTGAAATGGTCTACATTGATAAAAATCGCAGGATTCATATTCGTATCAGTGTCTTTCTTCTACCTAGGCAAGGACTGGTCCGATGGCAATCAACAACTCATCTTCTTCAACTCTCACCAGTCCCCCCAGACTCCCTCTGTCGCTCTCTCTCCTAATTTCAATAAGACCTTCAATCTCTCTTCCCTTTTGAACGACACTGGTTCATCACAAACCATAGATTCAATTCCGCCGCTTTCAAATCCGGACACACAGTCGGATGAACGATTGCTTGCTCCGCCGCCGGCGTTGCAGAGGATGGGAGTGGTAGACGAGAACGGAGTGATGTCGGAGGAGTTTGAGGTAGGGGAATTTGATCCGGGTGTGGTGGAGAAATGGAACGAGACTGAGGTGGTGGTTGAGGAAATAGGGGTTAAGGTTAGCATTAAGAAGTTTGGGTTGTGTCCAGAGAGTATGAGGGAGTACATACCTTGTTTGGATAATGTGGAGGCGATTAAGAGGCTGAGATCGACGGAGAAAGGTGAAAAGTTTGAGCGGCATTGTCCAGAGAAAGGTCAGGGATTGAATTGCTTGGTCCCGCCACCTAAGGGGTACCGGCCCCCAATTCCATGGCCTAGAAGCCGCGATGAGGTATTTCTTTCTTATATCTGACAATTTTGCTTGTTTTTAGGGCTCTCCTCTCGAGAAATTTAGGTCGAATTTGAAAAATGTTGCTCATTTGAGATCTATTAGATTGGTTTCTATGGACATTCAGATCATTAGGTTTCTCTTTATGTAAATTTCCTAACTAGTTTGGTGTTAATTATCTAATTGGACTGTGAACATATTACTGCAGGTCTGGTTCAGCAATGTTCCCCATACGCGTCTGGTTGAAGATAAAGGTGGTCAAAATTGGATTACCGTGGACAAAGATAAGTTTAAGTTTCCAGGAGGTGGCACACAATTCATACATGGGGCAGATCAGTATTTGGATCAGATTGAAAAGGTTGTCAATTAGTTTTTTAACATCGAATTGGAGAGATATTATCACTTGGGTCTTTCTGATTCTTGTTGTATGGCATTTTCATGTGTAGATGGTTCCTGAAATTGCATTTGGTCGTCTTACTCGGGTTGTTTTGGATGTTGGATGTGGTGTGGCGAGTTTTGGTGCTTATTTGTTATCAAGGGACGTGCTCACAATGTCCATAGCTCCCAAGGATGTTCATGAGAACCAGATTCAATTTGCGCTTGAGCGTGGTGTGCCTGCAATGGTGGCAGCTTTCACTACACGGAGATTGTTGTATCCCAGTCAGGCTTTTGATTTGGTTCATTGTTCAAGATGTAGAATCAATTGGACTCGTGATGGTATGGTTTCCATCTCAAAAAAACTAGTTATTAACCTTGATTTTTTTCTTTTTTCAAAAAAAAAAACACCATGAATTTGACTCTTTACATTTTATTGTGTAGAAAATGTCTTGGAGTTGTTTTATGACTATCTCTTGACTTATTACTTTTTGTGGTCTAGTTTCACCATTTGTTTTCCTGGTTGAAGAGATAGACAGTTGCATGAAAGACATCTAAACATTCTGCAATCAAAACCCATGTGGTGAACATTACCACTATGCAGATCTGTTAATTTAGTTTAGATTAGTTTGGGAAGACAGATGGTTTTTAATTGTTTTATTGTTGATGCCGAACTCTTCTCTAGAATATATTCTAATTTTGCCCTGTCTTCATCCACTATGTTGAAGATGGGATTTTACTGCTTGAGGTCAACAGGATGCTTCGGGCAGGAGGATATTTTGCTTGGGCAGCACAGCCTGTTTATAAACATGAAGTACTCCTGGAAGAACAGTGGGAAGGTAATACTACTGATTTTTGTTTTTTTAAATCAATTTGAAAAGTTTTTTTTAACAAATATTTGAAGTGTTTGCTTGTGGAATTTCACAAATTTGAGCCCTTTGTTTTATTTTCTCCTTTCTCTAAAAACAGTAATTGGAATTTCTATCCATGACCTTATTTTAGGCAATTGCTTGGTTAACGATTTCAGAGTTTTTCAAACTGTAATGGTCATGGGTCATTGATTTGTGCCAGTGAACTAATTTTCATCAATTCAAAGAGTCCCAATTTTGTAACCCCATTTTTCGTCACATTACTTTCATATTAAAAGTTTATTTCATTTGTATACAACTTTATATTTATATCTAAAATTATGTTATATTCATGTTCAATGTAGTGATTATAACTCATTTTTTATTATGACTTTGACCTACATCTCTTTAAAATTACAAAAATAACTCACTTAATTATAAGGTTATCTAAAAAAATTGTAAAAAATTAAAAAAAGAAAAAAACTCAAAACGTGTCCTCCATGTGTCCCTAGCTTGTCAGTCGCGTTGCAACGTGTCCCATTGGTCCTGAAAAAAATTAGGCACTCATTTTAGTATATCAGACACTTGTCCGTGTCCTAGACTTGTCCAACACTGATACTCTGGCCAAAATGAAATGTTCGTGCTTCCTAGCTACTAAATAATCTCGCAATTATAATATTGTTTACGGGACAGAATAGGATGCACCAAAATTCAAATCAATGTTGAGAAGTGTAACTTACCCTGGCCGACTTTAGCAATCTAGTTTGATGGAGGTCAAGCTTTTAGTGAGACAAGATTGAAGTGACAAAATGATTTTTCTTGTTTGTACACATGGGTTTTAATAATTTTGCTGATGTGATATCCCACATAATCACCTCGTCTTTCTTCGTTTCAGAGATGGTTAACCTCACCACACATCTTTGTTGGATGCTTGTGAAGAAGGAAGGATACATTGCAATATGGCAAAAGCCATTTAACAACAGTTGCTATTTAAACCGCGAGGCTGGAATTCAACCTCCACTGTGTGATCCAGATGATGACCCAAACAATGTTTGGTATATTTGTTGTAGTCTTGTTGGTTTGATATTGACTATACAAAATTTTCATTTAGAGTAAATTGTAATATACATGCTCTATATTTCTACTAGACTTGAATTGTTTACCTCCTAGTAAAGCTGGATGTGGCATTCGCAAATGTGACATGTTTTCCATGTGGAATCTAATGCTTCCACGTACTAATTTTGATGTTCCATCCTCGGCAACATGATGAATTCCAAATAATGTACACTAAACTTAAATTTATAGTTATTAGAAAAAGTATGAGCCTGTTTGGTTTGCGTTTTAAAAAATAGTATTCGAAAACAGTTTTGGAAAAGAGTTTTAAGAAAGTGATTTTGATATTTTTTATGATAAAAAATTTGTTTGGTTAGATGATTTCAAAAATAATTTTACAATACAAAAAATAATAAAACTTGTTTGGACAGTCTAAATATATATTTGAACAGTAATTCAAACATTAATAAAATATATATATATATATATATATATATTTTTAGATTGACAAATTCATAAAAAAAAATTCAATAAACCAAACTTTAAAATATATATATTTATACATATTTATATATACACCCCTCACACACAATATATATATACGTATATAAGTTTTATATATATATATATATGTTCTTCTTATTTCCAAAATTTAAAAAAAAACTCTGAAAACAAGCTACACTTGTTTTCTGTTTCTTTGACTCAAATCTCATTTTTTCCCAAAATTTTGAAAACAAAAATGTTAAACAAACAGGTTTTGGGTGTTTTTGAAATTTTGAAAACAAAAAACTGTTTCCGAGATGATAACCAAACATGGCCTATGTTTCTCCCTTCCTCTTTCCCCCAAAAAACACATGCACATAATGCATTGTAGGCATATGCCAAGTGTCAAGCTTGATCCTTCCATTGCTACTTACATCTGGCAATTAGTTATCAGTTTCTCCTTCTAAAGCAACATCTGCCCTCTCCCAGTGCAAAACCTTCAATTTTCAGATGCTCCTGTGCTATACGGCTGGAATTTATGACCAAGTAGTCAGGAACAACGCCATGCAGGTTTTCTTGTGAGAATCTTATGTAGAAAAAGTGTTATTAAGGCGTGTTAGAAGTGACAATATTCTTGATGGGTTCATTTGGCATTTTAATGCAATAGTAGTAGATTGTATAATAGTAGGTTGAATATGTTTTCAGGAGCTTTTCAAGCATTTGCATTATGGTGGTTGCAATTTTAGAGAATTTATTTTTCATCTCTCATTGGCCATGATATCCCTTGCATGATGGTTTTAGGTATGTTGATCTGAAGGCATGTGTTGCTCGACTACCTGAGGATGGATATGGAGCAAATGTTACTACATGGCCTGCACGTCTGCAGAATCCTCCCGATAGGCTGCAGAGCATACAAATCGATGCCTACATATCTAGAAAGGAGCTTTTTAGAGCAGAATCGAAATACTGGAATGAAATAATAGAAAGCTATGTCCGTGCTTTACATTGGAAGAAATTCAAACTTAGAAATGTACTGGACATGAAAGCTGGGTTTGGAGGGTATTACATTTACACTCACTTTGCTAATTCCTCTTATTATCTGATGAGAATTGCATCTTACAATGCAAATGGATTTATGTATTTTCTGTTTGTAAAATTTAACATGTACTTTCTCATCTTTAGTGAATAATTTCTTGTTTATTGCAGTTTTGCTGCAGCATTGATTGAAAATAAATTGGACTGCTGGGTTCTGAATGTTGTTCCTGTTAGTGGGCCCAACACCTTGTCTGTTATATATGACCGTGGACTTCTAGGAGTTATGCATGATTGGTACGAGCAAAGCTTCATTCTGTTTCTTTCTCTTAGCTGTTGTTCAAGCAAGTAGATTTCATGGTTGTAGTAAAAATTTGATTCCTTATATTGTGATTCATGATTTCAATGCTTACGCAATAGGTTACTCAATGCGTCGCTATCTTTTATCATGTCCTTCGCTTTCCTACTCTAAGGGGAAGGACAAAACCGTATTTTTGTGGTAAATCATTAATACTATTTTGGGACTGTGCACCCTCATGACCTGAACCTTTTAAGATAACTGATAATCAAAAGCACCTGTCTTTTGCTAAACCTATTATAGGGTGTGGGTTCAATCCATATATTGACATGATTGTGTTATAGTTCTCCAGAATCCGATCAAGTTATGTTTTTTTTTTTGTTGGTCACGATCAATCTATGTTTGAGTGATATGAATGCCAATGAGTTTAGTATTGACAAAGTTGCACTATACTTCCCAGGTGTGAACCATTTGATACCTACCCGAGAACCTATGATTTATTGCATGCAGCTGGCCTCTTCTCTATCGAACAAAGAAGGTATGCTCCCTTTAGCAGATAGTTCTTGCATCTCTATGTTTCGTCCACCAGTGAGAAATTTAGGATCCTGAGATTATTTAACCCTGGTAATATTCTGGAATTCCAATATTAAGCATTCTATAAATAAAAGACATGGTAAAATGTGCTTAAAAATTTTGAATATCATAGGTGAATGGGAAATATCGATCTTAGATTTTAGGGAAGAACATCATGACTTATGTAGGATTACAATCCGGGAATTTTGTCAATATATGGGTCAGTGATCCTTGAGTAGTATCTTTCCGGGTTTGTTTCAGTGGTTTTGTTTCTGCTTGCTTAGACTAATATTGCTCAAAGATTGTAATTTTGTTTCAGCTTAGTTATTGTAACTAACACAGACACCAGTTACTTTATGCCGGATGCAGTACCTCCTAAAACATTTATTTGTTTAACTTCAATCAGATGCAATATCTCTAGCATCATGCTTGAGATGGATCGGATTCTGAGACCTGGGGGACACGTATACATACGTGATTCTGTTGCTGTCATGGATGAACTTCAAGAGATTGGGAAGGCCATGGGTTGGCATGTATCTCTGCGCGACACATCTGAGGGTCCTCATGCAAGTTATAGAATCTTGACTTGTGATAAGCGTCTCTTGCATGCTTGAAGCACGAGGTTTCAGAATTGCATCAGTATGTTATTTGTTGTACTTGTGAAGGGAATACCAACAAGAATGGAAGTAAACAGTTTATCTTGGGGAATGCAAATGTAGGATGCTCCTTGAACACACAATTCTGAGGTGAATAGGGGAATCGTGCACGGGACGATTTGTTCAACCGTGCAGCATATTGGGGCAGTCATGTACAGGATAGTGTCATACACAAGAAAATACACCCCGTATTTTAGATTCTAATGTAACACAGTTGTTTCACAATCAATTGATTGGCAAACACACCCTCGGACTTTCAGTTCTTTAATTCTTGTATTTGTTGTACTATTGTTATGACAATTTGTTTGGAGCAATATTGACACCACTTCGAGCATTCTTTGACAGTGGCAACTCTGAGTTAAATTGAGTAATACTACATTGACTTAAAAACTAGATTTAAAAAATAAACTTGATAATTACAACTATTGATTTCATTGTAAGTTTCAATATTTATAAAAATTTATTACATATTCAATAGTTGTGATTATTAAATCTGTACTTTAAGTCCATGTAGTATTATTCAAATTGAATTTAGGGGAAAGTCTACATTACCTAAAAAAAAATTATTTTCGGTACTGTGTCGTTTACTACTTTTTATGATAAAATTATAATTTGAAAAGAAAAAGTACCACTACTCAAGAAAATGTCATAATCAATCACAGTAATAAATCATAAATTCTCGGTATCGGTCTTAATTTTTCATCATCAGTTATGCTTTTTAAAATTATAACTTACACCTCAAAAAAATTATAACTTACCTTTGAACAGTTATAATTTTCGGTACCAGTCTTTCCCTAAATTGAATTGACATTCCTCAAACGGAATTAATGATTTCAGGCTCAACATTAATTTAGATCAAACTCGAATTTCAATCAGAAAAATAGGATTTGAATTATAACCCAAATGCTAAAAGTCATGCCTGGTAAATACCCATACTGAAATATTTGGGTTAAACTGAAATTAGGATCTTTGTAACGTAGGCTCAACTCAAATTAACCTTTCAACCCTAATAACACGTCCAAGTTGCACCCTGTCACCATTAAGGTTGTACAGACACTTATATATTAAAATTATTCTTTTCCTGAGTCTTGAAAAAGTTCAAAAGCAACAACTCATCACAAGCCTAGCACTCCACAACCCAAGGAAAACACCCCACCTCAGAACAAAGTCCGATGATATCAATCGGGTTACAATCTGTTCAGCCAGCAAAAACTGATATGGCATGGTTTACCTGTCAAGGCCTAGGCCTCCGCAATTGCTGTCCTTGATTATGCAATGCCCGGACAGGTTGGCGCGTTGATGCATTTCCATTTCCAGGCGCCTGTTGTGTTGATGTATTTCCATTTCCAGGCGCCTGTCGGGTTGATGCATTTCGATTTCCAGGCATCTGTCGCATTGATGCATTTCCAAGCGCCTGTCGCGTTGATGCATTTCCATTTCCAGGCACCTGTCGGGTTGATGCATTTCCATTTCCAGGCACCTGTCGGGTTGATGCATTTCCATTTCCAGGCCCCTTTTGTGTTGATGCATTTCCATTTCCAGGCCCCTTTCGTGTTGATGCATTTCCATTTCTGGGGCGCCCATCAATCCTCATGTTCTGAAACTGCTGTTGCAATTGTAAAGGTGAGTGCCCAGGTGCGTGCACCAGTGGCTGAGCCCTGCTGCAGTCTCCGCCATTATTACTGAGGTTTCTAGCAGGTGTTCTTGCCACAAACTGTGATATGTGTGGCCTGAGTAGAGTACTAATAATAGAATTCTGACTTTGATGGGCTGAGAGAAGCATACGGTGAGTTGTCTGAACTGCTTCTGATATCTTCGTTAACTGTCTGTTGCTAACAGTCATCGCAGAATTAGCCGGCTGCTCAAAGGGATCCTCAACCTAGCCATCATTAGTAATAAGACGAGGGTCAGCCAGTAAAAATGAATCCAGGGCTGTAGCACTGGAGCAGTGGTGTATGTGTGCACCCAGTGGCGGAGCCACGATGCATCCTGCGGAGGCCATGGCCCCCAGTTTCTAAAATTTCATTTTATACACTCCCCCCCCCCCCCCCAAAAAAAAAAAAACCCCAAAAATAACCAATCAACCCAACCGAAAGTATCAGTATAATTGGTTGGAATTTCTGGGTCTGCCGCTATCTGTTTTTGTGTGTGTGTGTGAGAGAGAGAGAGAGAGGGATTACAAATAGTGCGCAAGTTTTGGGTAGCCTTCTCATGTTGCTTCCTATGTCTTCCCACTGTCCACTATATGTGCTAATCCCTTGCACTGGGGCCCTCAAACTGATATCGCAAAACTGCAAAAGGAGGCAAAGAATTGAAGTAGGATACTAGCTTAGTTATTTTCTCCAGGATAGTAAATGTACAATGTAATGGAAGATAATTAGGTAAACATTTCAAAAGTTCCCATTTTTGTATTCTATACTACATGCGAGGGAAATGAAATATTAGAAGAGTTATTACCTTTGCAAGGAATGAAACAAAAAGTTCAGACAAAGAACTTGCGTTAATAATTCTGGATCTATCCGATCTAAGCCTGTTTATGTTGACAGCACATGTTTCTTCAATATGTTTCTCTGCAACAGCCCTCACACCTGCATGGGGAATGTAAGATGGCTTCTAACTTAGGCAGCTGTTTTGATTCAACAGATGCTTCAGGAGTATTGTAGTCTGTAGATCACATTCCCTATCACTAAATTCCATCAAAGTTTACCGAGTACCATCAAATTCCAAACATATGCTGCCATGATAACAGAAAAAATTTAATGGTGTGAGCAAACTACTGTCGTTTTTTTTTCATTTTTCTTTGACTTCTCTCAGTTTCTTTTCTTCAGGTCCTAGGCTGAGATCAAATTGCCATCTCAGTTTCAGCCCATCATGACGTTTGTAACTAATTTTATTTTGTTGACTTCTTCATTAAGGGGTTGCAATGGCAAAGTTGCAGTTAGAAAGATTTGTCCCACAGTATGATATCCTCTCTCTGTCTCTCGCCTGCTTCCTTTCATTAAAGTCCCATCAAATATCCACCATTTGTTTAAAACAAGAAGAAAAATTTAAACAATCAGACAGCACAATGAGTAAACCACCAAAAATCTTGAAACAGGGTTCAACCTCACTTTTTTTTAAACAATCAGACAGTACGAGGACTGTTAGCAGCAAACAATTAATGAAGATATCAGAAGCATTTCTTCAACCTCATTCCAAGCTAGCAAGAGTTTGGACCCACAGCGCATAAAACTCATGGCTTGAACCCACCTCAGGTTGCCCAATGTTGCTGTCATCATGCTCCATTTTACAAACACAGACAGGCGTGGTACAACATGCCACGTTGGCTACCCTCTGCTCCTTCCCATACAGATGGCAACCATCAAGACTGACTCCTATTTACGTAAGCCAAAGTAGAACCATCGAGGAAGGCAACTCAAAATCCTCAACCTCCTCGGGTCTAGATCTAGTGTACCTCAAACACTTGATGCTCCAACATGAGTGATGTATACACGGGAAGGCACTGGAGGCCACTCTAAGCGGCTACTCGCTATCCCACCTAGTAAATGATGTGGCATCATGGGGGACCCATTTGTGCTAGGATTTCCTAGATTCAGAGAGCAGGGCCCATTGTATCTCCACATTGGCTACTGCAGATGTTTGCGGCTTATACTCTTGGAACACAAAAGGCACTTGGTTTGGCAGATTGGCCCGTTATGATGTGCTTTACTTGGGACACGATCCTATGACCTAACCAAGAATAGGAGGGATGTATGCGAAGATTTCACACATGTCCCCTGCCTTTGTTAGCAAAACAGCCCCTAAAAACCAGACCTACATGTTCGATATTGGGAACCTTCGTGCATTCTAGCCAATGCATCCATACACCCACCAATATCAAAACCTTTTTACCTCATCCACGTTTCCCTACAAGAATAATGCCTTCACCAATTGGTGTGGTGTATACACAGTCATTGGATGATTAGTGAAAGTTAATAGAACTCACTCATTCAAACATGCACATTGATTTGCAAAATATCCTTTTTGATAAATTTATGAAAGAAATGACAGAACTCACACCAGATACATTCCCAGTGTATAAGCATTTCCCTTTTGCCCAACCATCTCAGAGATTTGTCTCCCCTTTAGACAAGCACCTTTCTGTTTTCTGCTTTCTCTTTCTGGAGCGCAATTGCCCCTTCTCACAAGAAAATCCCTCGACCCCACATGGAAGCTGTTGGGGTCTGCGTGGTCCAAGATAATAAAACCATCTTGGAAAACCACAGAGAATGCTCTCTTATCAGTTATCATGTACTAGCTCACACACCTCTCCTTCACCACCTCCTTAGTGTTCTTGTCGTGTAACGCCTCTGACACTCTGAACCTCCGCAAGGATCCAACCTATTAGGTTTTACCCCTTCTACAGCCTAGAACCCCAAGAATTGTGCCCAATTACCATTAAACCCTTTCACAGAAAAATCCACCATGGTAGTAAAGTGCTTACTTTTGTGTCGTTCTACCATATTCTTGCTCTTAGAATTACATGTTTTAAAGTTTTCTGGTGATAAATATATTCTTAGGCTTTTACCCTTTATTTTCAACTATAATTTAGATAAGGTGCAAGCAATGATTCATTGTGTAGCTTTGGGTTTACAGTACATAAGCAAAAACATGCCATGCAATCCTGATGTATTTTGCTTGCGAGAATGGTCCAGTGGTTGAACTATATTTCCTCATTATCAGTGCTGATCATCATGCATGGTATGCTTTACGTTGTCTCGTTACAAACCTAGGTTCATTTCACTAGTACCAACTGCCAAGCACAAAACTTGCCGACATTCAAAACTTCATTTTAAAAAGATACTTCAGTGACACAAATAGAACAAAACAAATTGGACTAAATAGATAATAATACAACTCAATTCAACTCAACAAAGCCTTAATTCCAACTATTTGGGTCGGCTTCAAACAGATAACAATAGGTTTTCTAAATACATGAACCATTTGTTGCACATTCTAAGCATGACTAAAAAGACAAATAAATCATTTCTGGGATTTATTGGAGGTTCAAGACCTAAACAGCAGCAGCTAAACAAGACTTGACCATGATACCAAACAATAAATGATGAACTTATATCTAACGGAGTTGAAGAGTATGCAAGTGAATATGCTTTGATGAAGTAAAAATCAAAGATATGATACGCTCTTTACCTGTAAGATCATCAACTATATTTCCCGGATATATTTCCTTAAGGGGGGGCAAAATTGCAGGTACACAAGTCTGCAAGAAATGAGTAGAACAAAACCAGATGGGAAAAAAGTTAAGGTTCTGGTGGACCATGGATAGATCAAAGGCATGAAACAAAAAACTGGTGATCAACAAAATAAAAGAATACGTAAAACTAGCAAATGGAGACCACAAGAATAATCTATACTCATAACGGTGACGTACGGATTACTCTTGGATAAGCTGGATAAAACAATATGAATTCGATGGGATGATGGACCATATTGTTTTATGTGATCCGGTATGCCAAGAAGTCCCCCTAAACCATTCCAGATTTTGTTGTCCCTTGTTTCAGTATTTTTTTTGGTGGAATACACAATCCTTAAATCACCAGGAAAGGATTCACCTAACTATTCTAATCAAGTTCAAATAATATTAACAACATGAAAAACAGTAAAATCACCTGAAAATGGAAGACAACAAGCAAGCTGAGACAGTATGAGTTTAAAGTTCCAGACGTTGAGTCATTAATATCATGTGCCTTGGCCCATTCTTTGACCTGCAGGCCAGAAATTATTCATCAAAATATCCAATATGTTCTCTGAGTAGCATTTATCACTAAGCTATAAGAACATGCCAGTAAAATAATATCACGAAAGCGCCCATCAATCTCATTGATCCAAAACAATAATTTGGACTTCATTTGAGCAACAAGATTATTGATTGAGATATCACAAGAGATGTTCAGGTGGCTCTCAAGCTTCAATATGGGAACCCTTGCATTGGGAATAAATTGCAACCTACGCCATCCACCTGCAGAAAAAACATTATAATTTACTCAAACAGGAGTTCTTTTTTTTTCTCAGAAGGTATCAAACAGGAGTTATCTGACAAAGAAATCAACAATTCAAAAATAAGCAGCACATACAGCCTGCCATAAATATAGAGGATCATAATGCGTAAGACGAAATACTTCATCTTAAAAGTTTGCATCATCTGGTGTTTATACTATTCAGTCCATTTTCCATGATAAATCCATTTTCGATGGTAAATAAAGAGACAGCTACATTTCTTATTTTTACTGTGACAGGTTAATCCATTAGAACAACCAAAAGGGGGGCTACTCCCAAGTATACGCCAAGTCTCAAGAAGGGTTCCAATGAGCCAAGCCAAGCTGAGTTTTGAGGAGCTTGAGCTAAAATAGATTAACTTGTTCAGGCTCATCTCACTACTGCACAGCTAAATTCGAGCTCCGCTGTAGTTGAGGGCCCTTGATACTGTTCTCATGGGTGGATTACCAACTATTGGGCACAAAAGACTTGCTACTTTTGCGGCAGACTACTCGAATAAGTATAGAGCACCAAGCTAGAAACCTTTTCAGGTTTGTGTATCGTCCTGGAGGGGCTGGACTGATTTGCTGGTGCTTTGTGTTGTTCTCTTTTCCTTGAGATTAAACTGATTTTCCTTGTGTATTTTGGAACTGAGTGTTCAGATATTCTTTGATTCCTCATCCCAAAATATATCTGCTACTGTTCAACCCTTAATCTGTTCTTTCCTTTCAATTATTGCTTCAGATAACCATCACACATCAAAGGAAGGAAGCAAAATCAAGTGACGCAAATTAAGATAAAAAGATCATTGAGCTAGCAGACAAAAGTTGAATGGGTTCCTAATTTTCATTGCATACAAACGAAATCTGACTTAATATAGGTGAATTAATTAAATATAATTAAAAGGAAATGAACTACACATGTGAACTTAAAGCAAATTACCCTTCCTTCTCAAAGCCTTTAGTATATCTTCTAGTAAACTTTGTTTGTGTTTTTTCCCAGCAGATGAAATATATGAACCATTGTGTAACTCCACAGATACATCCAGATCTCCCCATCTGGTGAAGAGATTTGACACAAATGATCCATATGGCTCCACAGTTGCACCTGTTTGCACCATTTAAAGCGATGATCATGAATCTACATCAGTAAGCATAAAATATCTGATTCATGGAAACAATTCCGTTCCGTGTAAATAAGAAATAGACAGTCAAAGCAAATAAAAAGAAGTCAAGCTAAAAGAATAAAGGGTTACAGTTACACTACTTTTTTTTTCTGGTCTGCCTCATAAGATGCATTTGTGTGTGTGTGTGTGAGAGAGAGAGAGAGAAGCATTAGAATGTATCTTCAGGTTATGCCAGGTTATAACATGTTGACAGGGAAAACATGTTGAAGACTGTTGTTTGACTAAATGTCCATATATAAAACTGGTCCTCTTACCATTCTATTTAAAGAACTTATTTTCTCTTCCAGCAAGTCAGTAAAAAGAAATTGTGACACTCTATTTGAGCAGAAGATTGAAGTGTCATATTTGAACATTTAAATGAGGTCACAAGCATGGTGGAACAATCAGTTGTTACATATGTGGTGTAGGATAAAAACTTCTGAAGCATTTTACAACTGAAATTTTCTGATGAGGCTAAACATAAAGAATCCTAGAAATAGTGTAATTTTCAACCAATGAGATACTATCCGGATTTGTTTGATGTAGTATAATCTTTCCTGCATTACAAGCCATTTATCTCGCAAACACAAATTTTACATTTTTTCTGATAAACATTGTGATTGTATATACAGCTCCCAGTGCACAAACAACACAGGTATCACTTCCAGAACCATGTTTCATTCTCTTTTCCTACTTCTAAGGTTCCTAAAAGTATCCATTAAATATAGGTGACAAAATTAAGCAACAATAAAAAATATCTATGGCTTCACAGGAATCAGCATCTAGCAGACGACCCGTCCGTAATTTAGAAAAGCTGAGACCTACTATCATCAATCATATCAGCATCTGACTGAGAAAGCTCATAGCGTAGAAGTTAGGCTGCCAACAGAACACTTACTAATTGTCAAGTGATAACACAGACTAATGTGTGCTTTGAGTCTTCTGACATCCCAATGGAATGAAACATTCCATTTTTGTTGTCATGTCAGATATCTCAATCACCCACTTCTTGTATCTGAGATGATGGGTTAGTGCCACTAAATGTATCAAGAAAAAAAGAAGGATTTTTTTTGCAAAATGGAATAACATTTCCCACAGGAATTCAAGTGAACCACTCTTTTTTCTCATATCCTGATAGGCAAATCAAGAAAGTGTGTGAAGAATAGGAATAAGTGCCAATCAACCATGAATCTGCACAACAGAAGGGACAAAGCTAACAAAGTACCACAACAATGCAGCATCAGTTACCTCTAAGATTTTCTATGGATTGAACAACACCTTGAAGCTCATTAATGATATGAAACCGTATCGACCAATCCTCGTTCATGGGATTGATGACTCGAAGAATATCCCCGAGAGTAAGCTCCAATAAACTATAACCATTCATTTTTGAGAACTAAATGCTGAATCCAGCTGACCCAATTGAACAAGTTAAAATTTCAATTGTAAGAATGGCTCCCTGCACACATCACAAATTAACCATGTTACTTATGTTTGGTATCAAACAAAATGAATGAAAGAACCTGCCAAGTTAGGTGATCTAGACCTAAAAAGACAGAAAGATTTTAAAACAAAATGAGAATTAGAAGAAAGACAAGGCCGTCATCATTTTCCCTTGCACAACCCCAAAACCTTCAAAATAAACAGGGCCTTCACAAATGAGAATTAAGTCAAACAAAATATTGACATTTTGTTTTTGACTAGCTCATGCGCACATCCAATGCACATCGGTTGCACGTGGAAGTCAGTGCAAGATATATGAGCTTTCTGCAATTAGAATATCCCAATTGGTCCAACAAATAAATAATTGTCCAGATGAAATTGTCTTTTGAAACAGGAAAATAACAGCCTACTTGAATTCTTTCAAAATAGATCAATAGGATAGGGTTTACACATCTAGTGAGAATCGGATGATAATCAGTAGGTATCCTATGCATATAATGTTTCCAACATTATTCCCCTGTTTAAATGTCCTCAAGATGTACTCGAGGATTTAAATAACGATAATGCTAACAGTGTAAACAAACAGGTCATAAAGGGAGTTGAGGAGCTTTGATTTTTTACACCAGTCAGATTCAAATCTAGGCATCAAACAGTGAAAAATTTGCGAATACCTTAAATGCAGTTCTACACTCCCACTGCTACTCAGGCTACACCTACACCATAAAAGAATTAACTAATAGACATATACATATAGGCACAAGAAGTATCCACGGGGAGAACAATGACAGCGCACCAAATCAATTCAAGAGAATCCAAGGCAATAGCTTTCTATTATAGTTCCATTTCTGGAATGAATTTGCCTCAATTGCATGCTTGATTATCAGCTGCTTGTATTCAATAAGATCAGTAATACCTTATTCTATGGCAAAGAGCAGCAAAGTGGGCTTCGCCTAAAACCACATGCTGATTTACACTAGAAAATTCAAGATCTATGCTTGGGCTATGCAGATTTGAAGAGAAGAAGCGCAGATCTAGAAATTAGAGGGTTAAAATGAGAGAAATGGGGGAGATGGAGAATCTCCAGCCAAAATGTGAAGAAACAGTGGGAAAACCAGTCGGGCAAGTGAATTTGCATCCAGGTCATAATGGATCAGACTACTCAATTTGACCTGTTTTGGTCGTCATGGACATGTAACGGACCGTTATGTTCATGAAAAATATTCTATCCAAAATAACAAGGTTCAAAGGGAATGATGCGTAACACTCACCATAACAGATGAGTCTTTAGGATTTTGAAGGGAATGCCTTTATTTGGGTTTAAAGATACTTAACTTTGTTTGGCTTTACACCCTTGGTAAATACTAAAAATTAAAAATTAAAAAGGTCATAGTGACCACTCCCATAAGACGTGCTCATAATAAATATTAAAAAGGTTACAATGACCACTCCCCTAAGACGTGCACACGTCTTATGGGAGTGGTCACTGTGACCTTTTTGCACAAATCACATCTTATTGAAAAGTTGAAAATTAATAAACTTGAAGGCAAAGATAAATGTTGACGGGAATGTGATAGCAAGAAAAATGGCAATGAGAACAACAACAATGCAAGATGTAATACAAATACAGTGAGTAGTGAGGCAAAAACAAAGGGCTTCTATTAATGATTTTAGTGTCAAATATTGAATTCATTAGTTGATGAATTAATTTTGAATTACAATTTTTGGAAGTTGTTGGAGCTAAATGCTATACATATCCATGATATTGACAATTTTCGGAAGCTAATTCCTCTCCTCCTATACAAGGTAAAAAAGTAGGGGGAAAACAAGATCCACAGATTATGAAATGCTATAATGAGGGCGACTTCAAAGCATCTACGAATTTCCAATTTGTAAGTATGATCTTTCTCTCATATTGCCATTCTTGCCCAAAATAGGTCAAAAAATGAATGAGAAACATATGGATCCCCAAACCCAAACAACATCACCAACAAAAAATTCAACCTGGCTTGAGATCCAAGGTCTTGATGCTTAGATGATAACAAACCTAACCTCAAACTTCTCTTATACCATGAAAGAGAAATAACTAAACTAAAAATACAGAAACAATTGATGAATTTCATTAAAATTTTCATGATTCTCAAACCTGATCTTATCGTAGTCTAAAACGATCAAACCAGCTCTTGTCCACAACTGAACAGAGAAGACGAACCTTCAGCTAGGGCTCCATCTAGATCGCGAGAGTGAGGCACTACAAAAGTGGGAAGATATCTGGTCTAGGAAGCACGGATACGGACACGGGTGTCGTATCCGATACGATACGGACACGGGAATACGACAAAATTTCAAAATATAGGATACGGGTACGGCGAGGATACGGCTAATTAAAATATAATATATATATATATATATATATATATATATATATATATAAATTAACATTAATAATTAAATTGAGTAATTAATTAATATTTTATAAGTGGACAAATAAGCTAATATTAAATTTGATTAGTAGGTTAATATGTTATGGACAGTGGGTTAAAACCAAATTGGGTAGTGGGTGACAACTAATAGGGTATAATTGTAATTTAACATAAAATATAAGAAGTTCAAGGGTTATTTGTAAATTATTTTAGCAACTAGGGCAAAGAAAAAAAGAAAAGAAAATAAGGGGGCTGAAATGTAAGTAAAACAAGCAAAAAATATAAATAAAAAGAAAAGGCAGCCCTTTATCGTTTTTCAGCGACTAGGGCAAGCCAAACGAAAGCAATACTTAGGCGGCAGCGGCAGCGAGCGATCGAGAGAGAGAGAGAGAGAGTTGAAGATGAAGACGACATATCTGTGGCTGTGGCTGTCACTGATCAGGTACATCATCTTCTTCCCCACTTTTTTTTTTTTTTCAAATCCATGGTTGTGCCGTATCCCTCTGTATCACCCCCGTATCCGTGATTCTTCACTGTTCAGGACACTTGTGGAAGTATCGGACACGTATCTGTGTCGGACACGTGTCCGACAACGCCACGTCGACCCCCTGGGGAGTATCCGTGCTTCCTAGTATCTGGTCATATTTATTTGACCTCCAAATTGAATATGACCCAAAATCATATCCCAAAGCATTGAGAGTATGTATAATATGTTCCCAAAAACACTTGTTTGTAGCTTCATTTCCCACTATTTCAAATGAAAAATCAACAACAATCTTTCGCAAAATCCTTTTAATCATTTGGAAGGTGAAACAGCTCACTCGTTTAATGTTTTAGAGTTTCGAAACAATAAGCATTCTATATAAGAGACCACTATATTTTGGGGTGTATAGAATTTAAGTAGTCAAGTTGCATTTAAACACTATGAAGTTCAAGAAAGTAATTAACTGGCTAGACACTACTTGTTTGTAGACCAATTAAATTTACTACAAAAGGATGTGTTGGTCTTTTAGCAATTTTAAGGACAATATTGTCAATTAAAAAATTTTCACGTGTATTAACATTTAGAAGAGTATAGATATAGATATAATATAACAAGGATTTTGATACACACATACTTTGGATCATTAGTATCTTCACCCACATCGATATTTAAGACCTTTGATACGAAAGAAGTAGATGTCAACTTGTATTACTCATTTGTTTAAAATAAAAAACTTGTATTATTCATAATCAAACAACAGATGGTTCATTACATCTCACTCAATATTCTTGACATGTCCAAAAAAACTTATCATAGGTCACCATCTAATGATTGACTCACCTCATCTAATGAATCACTACAGCATAATGAAGGAAAAACAGGGGCTGTTATTTTCCCCCTCGAAAGTAAACACGCTATTTTTTTGCTCTAATTTTTATGTCTCTCTCATATTTTGCATATCAACATGTCTACCTCTTTTCTTTTAGTTTGTTCCAACTTCGACTATTCCAATATCCATTTTGAAGGGGAATATTCTTTTACAAGCCTGAAAAGTGCGGATGATGCAGAATCAGTGTGTATACTTCATATATCAATAGTAATGTTATATAGGTAACAACAATACTAAAACAAAGAGGAATAAAAGAATCCATGACAATTTTGTCTCGGGAAACAAAGCTTTCAAAGAATTTTATGAGATTATGAAATAGACATTTTCAGTTTAAGAATGATCAACCATTGTTATGGATGATATTCTGTTTGATAAGAATGTTTGCTCCATGAATGAAGATGAACAGAAAAGGGCATTAAGTTACTCCACCAATGTCTTTTTTTTTTTAATTATACATATCAATCTTGTGCAGTGACAATGTTTGTCTGATTTGCAACGCAAATTCATGCTTCTCCTGTAGGTGCCTTATAAAACATTGTAAGAAGGCTCATCAGTTTTTATGTCTCATCCAACATCTCAACATCCGACTATCTACTTATGTGGTGTACACCAAAGTCAAGGATCAGAACCTTATGTCTCTTGCAGTCTCATTTCTTTCATAATTTGACAACTTATCTCCAACAAGAAACAAGAAATGTAATGAAGCTCAAAGGAGAACCTGAAGAATAGGAATCCCACCTGGAATTGACAACCAAAAGGAGCACAGAAACATGATACTATAAAACCACCCTCCCCTATTATTCATTTAGCAGAGATCTTATTCATTGGCATGGCGGGAAATAACCATTCAGATGACTCTTTTGATATGTGTTCAACAGAGTTGAATTAACTTTTTCCTCATTTTCCCCAATCTACCCCAGATACATTTTACATTGTTGATTGCAAGGCCTTCAAAGTAACGCTTTCCTTTTGAAGTCACCATTTCTTCTTATTGGTTTCCTTTTTGGAATTCCACTCTAATTGTAAGAACTATCTACTGATTGCCAACTGATCATTAATTTCAAAAGCAATCTTTGGAAAGAAGCAACAAATGTCTTCTTGCTATCACCACCAAAACAATCAAGAGTAATATACTCAGATAATAACTATGA